TGACATCTGAAGATATTCATATTGTTATTATAGAATAAAAAAAGCAACAAATCCTCACATTTGAGAGGCTGGAATTAGGGAATGTTTCTTCCTGAAAAAAAGACTACAATGATGATTTAATTATCTAAATAGATGCTGATTATTTTTCTGTCGATAGAATAATTCATTGATCAACTAATTGTTGCAGCTTAAAAAAGAAAAACTGATGAAATTACTTAAAGAGCATTAATGATTAGCAAACAGACAGCTGGGTCCTTGAGTTTTCTAATTTGCAATTTCCTCTATGTGACCAGCAAAAATATGTGCAGGCTGGGGAACAACTTAATTTTTTTAAATTAATTTGATTGAATTTCAAAATGAGAAGCTGCTGTTGAATGAACCCTCCAACAGTGAATTCAGTGCTTGTGGTTTGTGTTTATTATATGGTTTATGTTTTCATAAAACTTTTATAAATGCAGAGTGACATTATAGTACGTGTTTTTAGGGGATTAATAATTGAAACTATGGACAGACCCAGGTTAGCATTTTCCCCCTGCTGTCATCATTTAGTCTAAGCTAAGCTAACCACCTGCTAGTTCAAGCTTTATACTTAAATGATGAATGGTATTGACTCTCTGCAAGTAAGGAAGCAAGTTTATTTCCCAAAATGTCAAACTATTCCTTTAACATCATGTTATTGACAAATGACTTGTATCAGAGTAAAAATGTTGCTCAATACTGCTACTAGTGGTCATAAACTCCACAGAGTGCCTTTAACACATTGATATTCAGGTGTTTCATCTATACTCCCCAGGTGACCCTGACAGCAGAGGAAGACTCCCGCTATATCTCATGGCGGCGCCGCCGCCTGTATTTGCTGATATCAAAGGAGCGCTACATCGCCCGTCTCTTCTCCCTCATGCTGGGCTACGACATTGCCGAGAAGCTCTACAACCTCAACAACAAGCTCTACATTAAGAGCGGCGTGCTGTTGGACATCCGCCTTCCCAGCCTCTACCATGTTCTGGCCCCCTCCTCGCAGGGCAGCGAGGGTGGCAGTGGCAGTGATGGTGGCATTGCCAAGGAGCAACAAACTCAACACCAGGGTGAAGACCCAGCACCGGCCTACCAGAAATGTGATCCCACCCAGTCTCAGACCCTCCAGCCATACCTGCAGGGACCAAGGAAGACCACCCTGGATGAACCCCAGGCTCTCCAGCATGACCGTTATCAGCACCCCTGGGCGTCAGACCCGGAGCTGCCCTCTGGTGAGGACTCCACCAGCCTGGTCCTGGAGGACTTTGGTGATGTGGCGGGCTCCTTAATGGATTATGGCAGTGAGAGGGAATATTTGAGGTAGAGGGGCAGGGTGCTGGAGCTAACACACTGGGTCACCACTTAAGCTACATGTAAGTACCTCACCTGGGTGGAGAGTGGCGTGGGGGTGGTGTGTGTGCATGGGTGGCTTGCGGTGCACAATTCTTACTAACCTGGCTTTATAGTGAGATACATTACAGGGCTGGGCGATAAGGCTGAAAGCAATGCATCTCTAATATTATTATTCTTTCCCTATAATCAATTTACAGATTTATGACAATATGGCAAATGCAATGGTGGAAACTTACTAGATACATTTATTCAAGTACAGTACTTAAAGATCCCTTCCAGACATGTATTAAGACAAATATACACATATTCTGCTTCGAACAATAATGTCTGTCTGATGTTCTTTTAAGAAAAAAAGTAAAATTTTCACTTTAAAATCCTTCAAAAGATGATTTTTGACTGTAGGATGACATCTGACTTCATACTTTTGCTTTTGAGTATTTTTACATTGTTGTATTACTAATTTTACTTAAGTAAAAGTGCTTAATACTTCGTCCTCCGCTGGACAAACGTATACACAATTATGCATCAAAAGAAGATAAAATTATTAAGTTGTTCTGAAAATTAAATCACATCACACAATCTTCATTATAAAACAAACAAACATCCATCATGAACTCCCATCTGCTGATGAATATCATGTGATATAACTGAAAGCTTATATTACATAACACGGACCCTGTGATGAGATGGTTTTCTCGAACGTCAAATTGATGTTCAGTAGAGTAAACTGAGGTCTGTGTGTAAAACAAAAAACTCACTTTGTTAATAATAATAATAATTTGAAAATGGATTTTTGCAAAACAATGACACAATATAATCAGTATACAATAATACTAAATTATAGTCCAGTCCTAGCAAGATATCGTCAGTTGTGAGGAGCAATCTGCTGGATTGTTCTCTTATTATCTCGTTTTCTGGCTCTTTTGCACTTATTGATTTATCTTGTGAAGGTCTGATGCTGTGGCTGCTTGCTCATTTGCATTTAAAAGTAAACACACAAATTGTTAGCTTGTAAAATTAGTCTGAGTTTTGATTTGTTGAGTTTGTATGCTCTATCTGTAGCTATAGATTGACATTAAATGGTGGCCAGATGGTGGCCTTCGTGATATCTGGATTATTATTCTATTTTCGAACCATACTTTAAGATTAAAATTCCTTCCCAGCCAGCTGCTCTGCATTAGTGTTTGCTTTGGCTGTGCCACTCACAAGCTTACAGTCATCTTTGGTACAGTAGCAGAGTTAGATTTGTTCACTCAGATAAAACAGATGGGGTCAGTGAAAACAGTTTTACTGGAAATGAACACAGAATGGGTTCATCATAGTTTGAGACAGCTGATCGGGTCCTGTGTGTGGCTGTACTTTGTGTCTGGCCAACAGGAGCTTGATGCTGTAGCTGGTAAGAGCAGACAGCGGTGAGGTTGTGCAGGCAGCAGCTGTGTTCCTGCCTGATGAGGATTAGAGCTCGGAAATTTAGGGGTTGTCTGAAGAAATTCTGTGCCATGCTAATAATCCAGTGTGTGTGCCCACCCCTGAGCTGTCTGTCCACTCCGCTCATCCGTTCACCCCCCCCCCACCCCCAGCCCTGCCTGCCCATGGCGTATTCCAAGAAGCAGCCTCGTCCAAATCACCAGGTGGGAGGAGTTCACATTTCCCACCCTCTCAGCCCTGGATTAGTGGGTCAGAGTCGGGTTGTGGTTGCAGGCGGCTGTGAAGCAGTAGGTCAAATCAATCCCACGAGAGCAGTAAACACAGCCTCAGTTCAGAGGCCGATGACCTCGACACCCGTGGACCAAGCCATCATAGTTAAAACAAAAACCCATCAATCAGGAACCTTCATAGTTCCAACAACAATCTGAATTTAGAACAAAGTCTTATACACTCGATACTCGTGCTATTCTCTGCAGTCTGTGTCGCGTGTGTGGGATGACCAAGCAAACTGCTCGGCATTAGAGTGAAATTTCAGCAGACAATTCAAATATATGTAACCAGCTGTTCTGGGTTTTGGATCGTCCCTGGAATAAAAGTCACCACCTGCCATTGCATCCACCAGTTCAATACTCAGATGCATGTGGAATAAGGGAAAGAGGCCAGCAACCTCAGTACCCTAGAGAAGAGTAAACTGGTATTTTTCAATCTGGACCATATTTTTCCATATGTATACAAGTCAAGGTGACTAATGGGAACCAACACGGTTTTTAAATTGGTTTTGCCAGTACTCACCCCCAATATTTTCACCAACTAACTATTGACATCTAATCTCCACAGATTGACAT